CAAACAAGAGACTACGATGTGTTTCTAGTAAAGCAAGCTGACTTACTGCAGTGAGGTGCAGCCTGCAGCTGGGCAGAAATCAGATTTTCACATTGATTTTGAACCTTTGGGAGCTCTCTTAAATGCCTTTTACTTTACATTTTCAACAGTAAAATAAAATGATACCTGCTTCTATTTCATTAACTTACATAATCTGATTTCAGGATTTCATCAAACGCCCTGATGAGTTTGTGTATTTAGTTTGTTTTCCAGAACTCAGACCTTTTATTTGCTCGTGTTACACCGGYTCATCCCACGTCTTTACAAACCGTGCCTTATTGTGTCCGTGTGAGCCACATCCTGGGTGTTCGATTTGTCTTCGCCTGCATGACTCACTYGCTGTCTGTGCTGCACGCTGCTCTGCCAGAAGGGGAGGTTAGTTGCTGCTCAGCATCCCAGGATGAAGGCGCCAGCAGTGATTGGACGAGGCAGCCCGAGGCCTGCAGCCAATCGGCACGCTCGCCTCTGTCCCTCGTAGCGACGGCTGTGTGATTGGTCCAGGTGTTGCAGGGCGAGGAAAGAATCGATGGCGAAAAGGAGAGATTGTGAAACAGGGATTGTTTGCGTCCACGCTGATGAATCAGTCTCTTTTCCTCTCGGAAACTTGTTTTTGCTGTTTAACTTTTGGCACATGTTTGTGGGGGATTAAATTAAAGTGGAGTTTAGTTTTCTCTATATGTTTGTCTTGTTTTATTCCTCAAAAATTCAGACGTTTGAAGAGATCGTGTCTGAACAAAGAGCTGAAACAGTGTGTTAAATGTAAAATACAGTGCAGGGACTTTTACACAGGTCTTTTTTTTGTTGTTACTGAAATCCCTTATCCATATTAATTCTATGCACATGCCACTGGTTTTCTGTGCACATAATGCTTAAACAGGCCTTGTTACTCCTACAAGAAAACAACCAGCCGTGCAGCTGATAAATAAACCATGCATGGTGTTTTCTATATGAACCAAGCATCTATTATACATCAGGACGAAGACGCGGTGCGGTGTTTCCAGTCGATCCGACCGCCTTGATTTCCATCTTGTTGCTTTTATCTTTTATGCGAGAGGTGAAATACTGAGGCTTGACGCATCAAAGTGAGTGTGTTGCGTCCCACGACAGCCATGCTGGGTTGTGCCATCCTTTCTGGGAATGTCATTAGCAGGGTAGGAATGTGCGCAGCCCACATTAGGAATAATAYCACATCTCAGTGTGAAACTCTCTGTCTCAGTCGGAGCAGGGAGGAGGRTCAGGGCTTGTGGGTGGTGAAGTGTGGGTCTGTTACCACCGTGACAACCTCTGCCCAGCGTTCCAGTGAAGAATGGGCCTTGTGTGTGTTCTTTGCCCGTTTTGAGTGTGCGTTTCTGTGCGTGTTTGGCGCACTGGGTACCAGGAGACGGCGGCGTGAGCGTGCGAGTGAACATCGGAAACAATGGTCCTGATTTAAGACGGCTGGCCAGTGGGGGAGCATAAGGCCGGACTGAAATGTCCAAGGAACGCAGCAGCGGAGGACTAGCATTATGGGTCAAATACAGTGAGGGGTCTGTGAGGGAACGAAGAGGGGCAGGGAAACTGCGGTGGCATGCACAATGGCCTAAGAGCAGGGAGGGTGAGGCTTCAGATAGGGGTGGTGAGTCTGAATGACAGAGATCTTTTTTTTTCCTGCATTGAACAGAAACGTGTTTGTTTCATGTTTGGCTGAGGAACGATGCTGTCCAGGGTGACAAGGAGACATTATGTGGACCTTATGTCACCACTGGTCATCTTGAAGCTGCACACAGAGCTGCTGCGTCAAACGGCATGCTACCAACATGCGTGACGGTCACAGCMGCCGCGATGCACGTCCAGAAACTCTCTGCGCCCAGCACAGGGGCCGGTTCGGCGACTCGAACTCTTCTTTTTTACTTCGGTTTACCGTCGACGTCCGTTCCGCATGTTTAGGAACCGAGGATTTGAATATTTGCTCAACAGCTGGAAAGCCCTCGAGGAGGACCGTGTGCGTGTTTGTGTGTCCCAGCTGGAGGATGAGCTCGGTGCAGATGGAGGGAGAGGCTTGTTCAGCTGCGCGAGGGCTCGCTGGGTTAAATCCTGCCGAGGCTCTCACACACACACTGTGACCATGGGCTCGTTCTCACACGACCGGGCTCCGACGCCCGGGGCAAGAACTGGGGCCACGGGCTCTTGGTTCTCACACTCTGAAGCAATAGTTGGTCTCAGCTGGGGTCTCAGAGTCGGTCCCTGTCACTGGGCCGAGAGCGGCTGGCCGCTAAACTCTTCGGTCGCCGTCAACATCCGCACTCCTGAACCATGAGGATTCATGGAGGTATTTTCTTTGGAAAGTTTGTTGTATTATAGAACAGGTTGCTTCTCTTGAGTAAGTCAGGAAAATGTTAAAAATTTTTTTGTGTGTGTTGTCAATACATTGCACTTTTCTTTATCTTGAAGGAACAATTTATCCATTTCTTTTGCTTTGATCCTTGTAATACAAATCCTTTTGTTATTGTTTTTCTTACATCTTTTCAGCCCAAGCAATTTACAGTTTTCATGTCTAAAATGAATCTTATGTTGCCAATGTTTTTTTCCTCTCTTCCAGTACAGCTGCTGAAATCATCAGATATTGGCCGCCACAGTCTGCTGTATCTAAAAGAGATTGGGCATGGCTGGTTTGGAAAGGTAAAACCTGCTTTTCTTTCAACAAAAACATTTATATATGTGACCCATCACATCGAAATGAGGATTAAGTCAAATTTGGTCAAAATGACCTAATCATATTTTCAGATTCCTGGCTTTAAAAGCTACATTTTGACACTGATATCATTAGTAGATTGGAAGATATTATTTAATTTCTCTTGTTACAATAATACATAAATATTTGGTCTAAATCCTAATTTTATGTAATTTTACTGAGGATTTTTGTTATGTCATCTTAAATAAGAAACCTCAAATAGTATTTGAATATTGAGATTTCCCGGCAGGAAAGAAACAAAAACATTGCTAGCTCACAGGGAAAATCTCACAATTTTAAAGCGTTTTTCCTCAAAATCAGTTTTTTTTATTGCCACTGCTCAAAAAAAAGTGCTTCAAAAATTTTTTTAGGATAATGTTTCAGACAGTTCATTGAAATGAAACGTTGATACATTTATTTTTTATATTTTGACAAACTATAATTTTTGCAAGTGTTTTAATCAAAACACTATCTGCCTATTTCTCCACATACAACTTTTAGACAATCCTCGTTTCGATGTGATCTCCCCTCTTTGCGTTTAGGTTCTGTTGGGTGAGGTCAGTGCAGGGGTAAGCACCACCCAGGTGGTGGTGAAGGAGCTGAAGTCCAGTGCTAGCATCCAGGATCAGATCAAATTCTTGGAGGAGGTGCAGCCGTATCGGTCAGTGCTCGAAGTGTCTTCTGAGTGAATAAACAGCTCATGAAAAAAAAAAAAAAACGAATGCACGCTCAAATTGTTGTTTGTGGTGAGAGTTTTTATATGTCTTTGCTCCGTCAGGACCCTCCAGCACCCTGCCCTCCTGCAGTGCCTGGCACAGTGTTCAGAAGTCACCCCATATCTGCTGGTCATGGAGTTTTGCCCWCTGGTATGACGGCAGGATTTATTTCCAGCAATTGTTTATTCATTCCTCAACTCGTACCTCATTATTTCATCGCTTGGCAGCCTCAACCCTTTTCCCCTTTCTCCACTCAGGGCGATCTGAAGAATTACCTCTGCAGTTGCTGGGCCGCAGACTCCGAAGCTCCTGATGTTTTGATCCTCCAGAAGATGGCGTGCGACATTGCGTCAGGACTCCTGCATCTCCACAAATACAACATCATTCACAGGTGTGTCACACAGACCTCAGTCTCATGGCCGTCATCCTAATGCTTTGAAGCTTCCGCCCGAACAACGTGTGCGCCCTCTTTTGGTCTCTTCCTGCAACAACATCCTGGTGCTGCCTGAGTGGTTCAAACAAACTCCAGCATCAGTGATTTTGTTGCAGGGGGGCGAGCCCCTTTTCATCTCCGTCTCTGCCATGTGGTGGCGACTGAGGCAAAGAATCTCTGACTGCTATGCTGGAAAAAAAAACTGAAGATGTGGAGAAGGTGACATCATACGTTATATCTTGAAATTAGTTTGTGCCTTTTTATTGTAAAGACACAAGTTACTGCTAATAAAGTTTCATGCTTTACTTTAACAAACAATGTTGGCTTACTCACAACATAGAATTTAGACCCCATAAATTAAAGAGATATCATGTAGCCATTAAATACATTTAATTGTGTACTTGGAGTCTGTAGGAGTGCAGAAAACTTGAATTTAGTCTCTCCCAGTGCTGCGTAGAAATCTTTATATTCTGTTTGGATCAAATTCTCCAACCCATTCAGTTTTCTCTACTTTCAATGACGTTTTCTGAACTATTACGTCACAGAACTACCAAATAAGGTCTGGACTTACCAACTACAATTTAGTGGTCTTCATTCACCTCTGGCTCTGGGTCAGACGCTCCAACATGTAAGGCTGGAGTCATCCACTGTTGACATCTTTTAATTAATTTGTAAAAATAAAAAAGAGTTTCTGCGCTGCTGTGTAGTCATAAATCCCAACTAGAATGGAAGCTGGAGGGGGCGTGGTGTTTGGATTTGAAGAGACAGCCTCAAAACGAGTTGATCTGAGAGACACCTCAGAAAAGGGGTGAAAGAGGGGCTTGTGGAGTTACAGTAAGGAGGAATGCAGACCAAAACATTGCAGTTCCACTTTATATAGACCCCAACTGAATGATTTAAATGTGAAAAAGGATTTAAAAGCATGATGTCTCCTTTAAATACATTTTTTTTTAAAAATCACTATTCAAATGCAGATAGAACAAAAAGAGATGTTTTTATCCACAGTTGGTTTGGTTACATAAAACTTTAAAACAGGTTTTCTTTTTTTTTTTTTTTACACAACAGTGACCTGGCTTTGCGAAACTGCTTGCTAACATCAGAAATGTCCGTTAAGATTGGAGACTATGGACTTTCTCACAGCCGATACAAGGTTAGCATTCTGATAACGTGACATTATTAGACTGTTACTTCTTCCTGCGCTCGGCTGTACATGTTGTTTGATCCTTCAGGAGGACTACTACGTGACACAAGACCAGATTTGGGTGCCCCTGCGCTGGATTGCACCGGAACTCATAGACGAGGTCCATGGAAACCTTCTGGTTGTCGATCAAACCAAAAGTAGCAACATATGGTGAGATGAGCACAAACAGGGACTATTACCTTTGAAATAATACAAATTGTCCAGAAACGTTTTTTTTTTTTTTATAAGAAAAAATGATCCGATTTTACCTATTTGTTTGGTGTGAAAGCTCATGCATTATTATATATTTTTAATCATTTTGTAACTTTGATGAATTAACCATAAGATCCAGGCATTATGTGTTATTTCCAAACACCATAAAAGCATTTTTATTTCCTTTTCCAGGTCATTGGGTGTGACAGTATGGGAGTTGTTTGAGCTGGGAAACCAGCCGTACAGACACTACTCTGACAGACAGGTGCTGACATATGCTGTGAAGGAACAGCAGCTTAAACTACCCAAACCCCAGCTCCAGTTCCCTCTGGACGATCGCTGGTAAGATATTTATCTGCTCCGAGAAACATGCAAGACATATAAATGCAAGCTGATGGACAAAGATAAATTACAGACGTGCTAGGGCGGTAATTCTAACTGGCCAATTAATTTCTAACTATTCAGTGGTTGTGTTTTAACAATAGCCACACTTATGATGGTGCACTGTAGCTATATATCTCTCTTTGCAAGCAGGGGCACATGATTGATATTCTTTCTATTCTTTATGATCCCCTCAGCATCAACCAGAGTTAAATTGCCTCATTTATCTTTACCTGGAAGCTTCCCAAACCTTGTTTATACCCATTAATTTCTTTTCCCCCGTTGTTCCTCAGTGACGTAAACATGTTTGATGCTATGATACACTGACACACAAAAAGGATCTTCTGTGTCAGCATCTGAGCTGCACCTCTTTCATAAACTCTGTAATTGACTGCAGCATTACATCTGTGCCAGATGTTGCCATAAAGTTCTGATTTCTGGGGGTATTATGGGTTTTCCGGGCACATAGTTCAATTCTATACCACAATCAAGTAACTATGTTACCTTCAGTTGTTGTGAAAATACCGTATATATCAAAATAAAATTGACTTTGCTTCATAACCTATCTAAACACCTTGAAATTGGCCTTTGTCTCTATAAGAACCTCCTACCATTTCTGACACTCCCACTTCAGCACATCTTCGGAGGAGGGGTGAACTGTGGGGTGGGGAGGAGCTTTGTGTAAATAGGCGGAGCTTTGTACCAGCAAGTGTTTAGGCCAGGCATGGGTAATCCTGGTCCTGGAGGGCTGCAGCCCTGCATTTTTTACGTGTTTCTCTGCTCCAACACACCTGATATGAATGATTATCAGGCTTCTGCAGTACGGAGGACCAAAACTGACATAATTAGAAATAAAAGCAGAATTAGATGAACCACTAAACAAATACACTTAATATGCACCAATTAAATTTAAAAAGGAGAATTTTATCTCCTGTTTCATATTTTAATTGAGTTTCGTATTTATTTTTCCAGGTTAGTTCCAATAAATTAGTTTATATATTTCAACACATGATTTAAATTTTACTGTTTTTAAAATTCATGTTAATTGTTTTTGCTTTTACTTGTACATGCCTTTGTGTGTCTTAACTGTTTATACTTGTTTTTATATTTTTTTCCAACAAATCATTTTATTTCTGTGATGCATGCTTGTGCCTCAGTTTAGCTAAAAGTTTAAAGTTTAGTTTAAAACAAAGGCAAGGAGGAAAACATTGTTTTTGTGCATTTTTTAACTAAACTTTAAGCTAAACTGTAGCAGCACACGCATGCAACACATAGAAATAAAAAGACTTGTAGGAAAAAAAATATAAAAAAATAATTCAATTTAAGCATTCAAGAGACACAAATGCATGTACAAGTAAAAAC